AACACCAAAATGAGTTGTGTTGTAATTTGAACTAAGTGGCAATGGTGATTTTTACTTCCAAAATAGAATAGAAATATACTTCCTAAATATATTTATTTTAAGTAAATACTAAATACTCCATTTTGTAGTGAAAATATTAACATCTTTAGCCTTTATTAGATATTTTAGCCTAAATATATTTACTTTTAATTAAGAAATAATAGTTATTTAACAATGATATCGTGCATTATATTGACATAAATATTAATTAAAATATGATTTATTATTATTTAATTTCAATACTTAATTATTAAATCAGATATGTCAAATATTTAATGATTAATTTCATATATTAATTTTAAAATTATGTGAAGTTAACTTTATATTTAAATTAAAATCTATTTACTGCTCAAATTTAAGTTATTTTAATTTAAATCATAATATATATAATATTTTCCTATTATTTTAATCCTTGAAATTATTGATTAATTAATATAGTCATCGTTCTTCTAGCAGCAGTATTGGACCATGCCTTTGAGCTCTCCTACCACCTAGACAATTAATTGCATGCCCAATAACTCCCATATTTGTGGATCTCTTATCGTCAAAAAAGAATTGGACGGCTGAGATGAGGAATTCATTAATGATAAAAATAAAATAATCACAATCTTTTGAAGGATGTTCATATCTTTTTTTTTTAAATTCCACCATTTGATATTCAATATATGATAGTTTTTATAGAAATTTTTTTAGACTAAACTCATATTGTTATTTTAAAGATATTTTTACGATAGCAATAAGTTTTTTTTTTTTTTTTTTTTTTTTTTAAACAAAAGATAACATTAAATAAAAGGGAGAGTGTACAAGTCCAAATAAATCAACTGCTCTCTAAAAACAGCACAAGAAAAACCTATGAGCTATTGAATTCCCAATTTACTTACAAAGTAGGAAAGCATCTAATAAAAAAAACACAAACTAAACCAACAACGACTGCAAAAAGAAGAGATGAATAAGACAATGCCCAAGAATTAAGGCTCAGCAAAAGCCAGAGCTACAGCAAATCCTAGAGACGCGCCAAGGACCATCCAGTAGAAGTGGGGTGCACCAAACGGTTGCCAACAGAGGTGTCGACAAGGATGCGAGCCCCAGCCGACATCATACCTTCGCTACAAAGCCACTCGAAAAACCACGTAATAGAAGAACAAGATAAACAATATTATCTTCTTTTCCACGCACTTTCCAAAATTTCGTCGTGCATAAGCCAGCCCTCAGAGGTCTAATCCGAAGCCATAGCATAACATCCTTATCAGGTGTCTGAAAAAGATTCAGAATCCGAAACCCCTCAAGAACGAATTAATGTTCAGCATCACCATGCCGCCTTAACATCCATTTCCTCGGACTTACTACCCCAACACATTATGTGATTCAGATAAATTCACAGGCACATTGAACTAAATTCTCGTGTCTAACCAACACACAGGCTACATCCGTGTTAAAACCTCATCACCCACTATAGGACAAGATATACCACCTTCTTATTTACTGTAAACGATCACAACACGTAGTAGACATATCTGAGGTCGAACCACCAACCACCACAAGGAGACCAACAACATTAGCCAGCAATTAGAAATCACCTTTCCATAAAGTCCGGCATCATATTATCAATGCGGGTTACCGCTCAATTACATCAAACGATTGACGCATTTCAGGCACACAGAAAAAAGGCAAGCTTTGAAGACAGCGCAGTATCAGGCGGCGCCAAAACCCCAGATTCAGTTGTAACATTTCATCCCTAATGATATTCTAAAAATTACATATCAGTCGGTTGATTTAAAAAACCAATTCCTTCAGAATCAAAAAACAGGCACACTGTCAGACCCTGTAATTTGATTCAAGCAAAACATTACATTCCGAAAACACTGCAAGGGAAAGCCACATTCAACACAGGCATTCTTCCTGCTCATGCACAAGTTTTTGAACTTTAAGATTAGGATGTAAAATCGGGCAAGAGTCTTTAGAACGACTAAGAAAAACAATGATTTACAGAAACAAGGTATAATCATCGAAGATACAGCTGAACATATCCGATTCACAGAGCCTACCCAAACTTCCATCCGCATGATGTTTTTGGTAACATCCAGTCTCACCAGAATTTCGAGCCAAGGACGGCCACGAACTCAGGCGTAGCCAAATTACGACGATTTTCAGAGGCTAACCGTAACAGAGATACCAAACCGAAAAGAATCCTCAGGCGAAATAAATGGGGCCTAAGAAAGGGGGAAACGAGACCCAAATAGGTGAACAATCAGGGATCAATCTCAACATCCTAATGGGCGTCCATGTTCAAACGACTTTCATGTAGCAATTTTGAACATAGTAAGATCTATGAGAAAAAATTCTACATAATCAAAATCATCAC